AAAACTTCTGTGCTTGCACGATTGCTGCAAAAAATGCATTTATTCGGCGATCACATTGTTCCAGTGTTCGACAGTAGCTTGGACGTAGAAGCTCTTACTTAACAGCGGAAGAAGTTATATCTGAATATGATAAAGTCAGTACTATTAGAAAAGTGAGCATTCTGGAATTGTTTCGCTGGAGCTTTGCAGTACGTTCAAGACTTGTTTCTTTGTTTATACAATTACTTTTGATGAGACAAGAAAGACTGGAACTCACTTGAGAAAACGCCCTTTCTTGTGGGGTGATTTGGAGTTGTGGCTGGGCTTGCCGGGCTTTGCAATCTTTTTTCCGGACTTAGATCGTTTAGATCTTGAATAACTTACGTATTCAGCACGTCGTTTCATGCAGAAAACAGTGCGCCCATCACTTAGCCAGCAATTTGACGGCATTTTGTAAGTTTGGATGCAAAGGTATTTGCGATTAGAAATGGCAACGCACCATCTTTTTCCACCATCCTGCAACACACATGTTGCACTTCACTAGCATACAGCTGCCTTATGGAAGTCATATAAGGATTGACCTCAAAACAAGAAACTCTACAGGAGGATGGGTCAGATTTCCACAAGGAGGGTCGTAGATGCTTGTCTTGGTATCACACTTAGCTCCCATATGGATATTTCTATTGTGGAGTCGTCCTGATGCAGAGTTTGTCCTTGCAAAAGAAGATCATCGGCACCGTTACTCCTTCCTTTTCTCAGTATTCGAAGATTTCGTCAAAATCCACGAGAGGGATTTTCAGGGCATGGAATCTATCTTGGTCTGTAATAAATGCATGCAGGGGTCACAAATGTTGTAGCGCATGTTTGCTGCGCGCTTCTGGAAGTGCCAAAGAAAGGGTCTGCAGTACATGGAGTTGCTGGTTCGATCCACATGGTGACGAAAATTTCCATTCCTGTAATTTTTATTTTCTTGTGTTCGAATGAACAGAACCTTGCTGTACGAAGAAAAAGCAAAAATTGGTTTCCAAGAGCACCCGGAAGATCCCTGAGCGTCCACTACTATAGAAGCATATAGATCCATCTGGCCCTCATAACCCAGAGCTGGGTAAGGGGAGGATGCCTACCCTGAACATGGCATGGGATGCTCTCACCTGAGGCAGCAGTCATTCTGTCTTGCGTTCCACAAAGGTTTGCAGTTGCCACAGAAATGGCAGTATTCCACCGAAAAGCAGCAGCCGTCGCAAAGGCACGGCGCACGTTGGGGATCTTCAACATGGCGAGAGCAGGTTTTTTGACTCAGGAAAAAATGTTTTCGGTAATGGCTGCTCTCGGTTTCTTTTCGTTCTTTACCCATCAAGTCCGCTTTGCACTCCCTCCCGCCTTAGCTCAGTTGCTGTTTTCAGCTGTTTTCAGGAAAAAAATCTCGAAAAAGTGAGAGGAAATCGCGAAATTTTGGGAAGGTGGATGGGGCATGGTTAAGCGATTTCGTAACAGAGGGGCAGTGAGGGGAGGCGTCTGTCTTGTGCAAGTCCCCCCCCCCTCCGCCTCAGTGCAAGAGTATGCTCTGGCCGCCACATTCAAATGAAGTAGCACTAATGTTCTCCTCACTTTCGGGATATAGTGTGTGCCTAGTTGTATATACGCGCTCTTGGGAATGTCATCTTCCAAAGGGGACAGTCTTTGGCCGTAGTCATTTCATATGCTCTTCCTTCTAGTGAAGACAACCCCATGTACGACCCCATGTGTTTCACACAACGATGCTGTACCTTGGTCCTACTCCCCACAATTCATGGTATGGAGTGTACGCTGTTGCAAATACACCGCGTAATATGATCTGGACAGCACTCACGTAACTGTAGCTGCGACCAAAGTAGAAAGCTGAACACCCTGCAATAAGGCACACAAGCAGCCACAAGCGCATTTCTCACCTAAAAGTAGAAGCGTGAATGGAATCATTCTCACATTACATGCATTTAGTTCGCTTAAGGTTTCCTTTGTAAACAGGAGAGAATAAAGAAGGGAGTGGAGGAAGATAGCAACATTAGTGGTGCTCTGTATTTATGTTGGTTGTCAAAGCCATTTCTGTTATTCAAATCATCAGCTGCACTGAAAGACTGAAATTGCTACGTTTCAAATGTGTCAGATGTGCTTTTAGGTCTATTTCCGTCTCGCTGCTGAATAACTCATGTGAATGAATTTGTACTAATGGCGGAGCATTTATTTTGAATGGATAGGCAAAAGTTACAGCACGCTGTTCATTTGCTTCACCCATCGTTCCATTAGCCATCGAATTATTATTCAACAGTTTGTCTAAAAGACACATGGTACGATCACTAGTTTGGGTGTGCATGACTATCAGCCCCCCCCAGCTGTCGAAGCGTAGCGGTTTCTCTATCCTAACATGCGCAGGAATGGAGATACAGGACCGTGAAACGCACTCATTCCTCCTTCCGCCCAATGCCACTTGCGGCGCAGACTCCCGTTTATGCTAACAGCCATCCGCGCAGGCGCGTGTCGCGCGCAGCCTTGGCACTTTGCCAAGTCCTGTAATTGCGCTTTGGAATACAAGTAAAACGCAATTTCCTGATGCGGATAACATTTGAGGTGTTGCTCATGCTGCAAAGTCCGAATAGAAGGTGATGAAGATGACAAAGGCTAGAAATGAAGAACAACGAATGTAGATGTAAATAAAATAAAAATGAAAAATTAAGGAAATGCAACTTAATTAGAATCGCGTGTAAACTTCTGCGCGAATCCGGCCCCAATGCCGTAGAAATACTTTGAACTAACGAGTGGGAGGCTTAGGCAGTTTTTATTTTCACAAGCTTGGCTGACGCGCACTACTGCGCGTATGGTTGAACTTATGGTAATAGTACTGCGCTGACAGGATTCCTATATTGACCCCGAACACTTCGCCGATTGTACAATTTTCTAGAATACGGCCTATTCATTATGATTCTTTATTTTAGATGAACGTTGTAATAGTTCTGGTGTTATCTATTTTTCTAAGAAAACTACTCGATCATGCCGTTGGTAGTAGGTACAGCTAGCTGGTTGTAATAGAAGTATTTCGATTGGGTAATATTACGATGTTTATGGTGATAGTACTTCTTACTTACATTTTCACATCCTAGGTACTTCGTTGATGCAGTCTTCCAGGGCTTTTATTTTTTCGTCCGAAACTCGTAGATGCTTAGCGGTCGTATCGCAGTATGTCGATAATGGGATAAGATATATGATCGCGGATATCGTCTCTTACCGATTTGTTTCTTGGACATCCAGGTATCTGAAGTCTGCTATTTGTGTGTGGCGGGATCGTGATAGTAAATCTTATCAGCTATATATGCTGTTTAATCACACCTGTCATCCCCACTCATATAATTTTGCGTCCTCTTCCTTACTTTACTTTTCTGAGGCACGCTTCTTAAGTCTTGCTTGTGATTGGGTTATGAATTTGGCTGACTTGCGTTTATAGCGGCCCCTTGTAGTATTTATCAACTGCTAAATTCGTTCCTGCTCAACCTCGCACATCAGTAATGTGTCTGGCTCCTACACATTTATAATTGAGGCATTGATTGACTTGTTTGAAGAAAGTTATGAATTTCCGGTCAAACACACATACACACAGACATTCACACACACACCAACAGACAAACAGCGGATTATATATAGTAGGATCTTTGATTGCAGGCTTAGTGGAGAAGACCTTTGGAATTCATGTCACCTCCAAACAGCTGCGAAACTTCTAGTGTGGAGTCACCCATGGATAGCTACCTGGAGACCAGTACTCTTGATCTGGAAGACCTCCAACATCGAGCAGCTCCGACAACGTCGCTACGGTCCAGGATATCATCTTCACCGCAGTCGCCAAGGCGCGGGTTGGTGGTATGGACCGGAAGTTCCTGGAATGTGAAGACCGATATTTTCTTCGTGGACCCTGGACTGAAGGTGAGCGCTGACGGTTACATCGTACAACTCGTAGAGAATACCCTGCCGTCATGACATCACCTGTACCTTCTGGGGCACTTCGTACTGTTACGGGATTCATAACGGGAAGGGCGGAGGAATCAACGATCTCGCTGAACTCAGGTACCGAATCACGTCGCGTGGCAGAATCTCTCGATGGCGCTCGTCCAGAAGGCTGTGGCGGAGTATCATGATAGTATACAATATGCTGTTGAATATGGTGGTGGAAATGTCCAATCAGAATTTAATAAAGTGTAACTTATAGCGCCTTGAAAGTCAAGGAAGGTAAGTGTCTTTTTGGCCGTTCCTGTACAGATGTGAATAAGAAACGGAACAGTGGTAACGTCGGTGGAATATCACTCTCGCTTTTGTACCTCGACAGGTAGAGTGGTATCTCCGCCGAGTAGGAGTAGAGTGATTCGTGATTCGGTTGTTGTGTAATATTTCGCCTAATTACAACCCCCCCCCTCCCTTGAACTTCTCCTTACGTGCGACCTCCATTCACAACACCACCTTCCGTCCCTAACACTTTTCCCCAAAAATTTATCCGTTTATGGGCGACTACTTGCGGAACCATTCATAGCTCGCTCAAAATGTGAAAAATCGAATTCTCCCCTGTGAACAAAAACGCCCCCATTCCTTCCCAGCGTGCAGTTGTGTCTTGTAGTACTCTGTGCTCCTGCTATAGGGCTTGTCCTCCTCTTCTCGAACCCTTTTTTTCTGGTCTATCGCTCGCGCAACACTGCTTCGTTTCTTCGGATACTCGTCCAATTCTGGGCTTTTTTTGGAGCATAGTCAATGGCTCTGTCATCTCTCTCACTATGTAGGTCGATAAGCATCTGTGGGCTCTTATTTGGACCCGAAATCCCACGAGTAATGATCGTAAACGGTGGTTTAATCTCGGGCGACAGTACAGATGATAATGCTGAAGTTTCCTCCGAAGAAAACTTCTGTGCTTGCACGATTGCTGCAAAAATGCATTTATTCGGCGATCACATTGTTCAGTATTCGACAGTAACTTGGACGTAGAAGGTCCTACTTAGCAGCGGAAGAAGTTAAATCTGAATATGATAAAGTCAATACTATTAGAAAGTGAGCATTCTGGGATTGTTTCGCTGGAGCTTTGCAGTACTTTTGATGAGACAAGCAAGACTGAAACTCACCTAGAGAACACGCGGTTACTTGTGGGGTGATTTGGAGTTGTGGCTGGGCTTGCCGGGCTTTGCAATCTTTTTTCCGGACTTAGATCTTTTAGATCTTGAATAAGTTACGTATTCAGTACGTCGTTTCATGCAGACAACCGTGGTCCCATCATCTAGCCAGCAATTTGACGGCATTTTGAAAGTTTGAATGCAAAGGTATTTGCCATTAGAAGTGGCAACGCATTTTCCATCATCCTGCAACACATATATTGCACTTCACTAGCATACAGCTGCCTTATGGAAGTCATATAAGGATTGACCTCAAAACAAGAAACTCTACAGGAGGATGGGTCAGATTTCCACAAGGAGGATCGCAGTGGCTTGTCATCGTATCACACTTAGCTCCCAAGTAGATGTTTCTAATGAGAGAGTCATTTTGATACAGGGTTTGCCCTTGCAAAGGAAAATCAACGGCATTAATACCCCTTTCTTTTTCCCAGTATTCGAAATTTTGGTCTCGAAGTTTTGATGGAAATCCACGAGAGGGTCTTCCAGGTCGTGGAATCTATTTTTGTCTGTAACAAATGCATGCAGGGATCACTAATTTGTAGCGCATTTTGCTGCGCGCTTCTGGAAGTGCCAAAGAAAGGGTCTGCAGTACATGGAGTTGCTGGTTCGAATCCACATGGTGACGAAAATTTCCATTCCAGTAATTTTTATTTTCTTATGTTCGAATGAACAGAAACTTGCCATACGAAGAAAAAAAGAAGAAAAATATCGGAAAAGCGGGAAGAAATCGCGAGAATTCAGAAAGATGACAGGTGGGTTGGATATGGTCAGGCGATATTGTATCGGAGGGGCAGTTCTCAGGGGAGAGGCCTGTCTTGCGGAAGTTCATCCACCTGCCTCAATGGAAGGATGAACCGTGGCCGCCTCATGCAAGTGAAGTAGCCTAATGCTCTCCTCACTTTGGGATATGGGGTGTACATTGTTGCAGATACACGTTCTTGGGAATGTCATCTGTCGGATGGGACAGTCTTTGGCAGTACTCACCTCATATGCACTTCTTCTAGTGAAGACAACCCCATGTACGACCCCATGTTTCACAGAAGATGCTGTACCTTGGTCCTACTCCCCACAATTCATGGTATGGAGTGTACGCTGTTGCAAATACACCACATAATATGATCTATGGACAGCACTCACGTAACTGTAGCTGTAGCTGCGACCAAAGTAGAAAGCTGACACCCTACAATAAGGCACACAAGCAGCCACAAGCGCATTTCTCACCTGAAAGTAGAAGCGTGAATGGAACCATCCTCACATTACATGCATTTAGGTCGCTTAACACGTTGACGACATCCTGAGCCACCGGTGGCTCATGAGTGAGTGGCCACGTGGGACAATCTGAGCCACCGGTGGCTCATGACTTTCTCCATCACTTTTTGGGTTATTGCCGGCAGTCTCAATCGATCTTTTTCTTGCTTTCGAGTAACCTGTGGAAGGTGAGTTTCCAACAAGGATGAGCAAGAAAAATGTTGCTGCCCCCATGAGATATTTTGAATTAAAAATTGAAATTTTTCAACTAGCTACTGCTGCGGCAGAAACCTCCAAAATAGTTCTTTTTGGACGAAACCTTGGCTGCAGGGACTGCGCGGGTCTTTGATCATGAACGTGAGATCTCATTTGTCATTGGCGCCATATGGCGCCA